TCCCATAGTTGTTCTCTGGAACTGCTTAAGCCCACAATAACCACAATCCTGAGTATCATGACCATGATAGGGTACAACTCATTGAAGGTCATTGACTGGGTGAGGCACAAGAAATTTTTTTTCTCTTTCTTTTTGAGATAGGGTTTCACTATGAAATTCAGGCTGGCCTCAAACTCACAGTGATCCTCCTGCCTTGGCCGCCCAAGTACTATCATTACAGCCCTGTGCCACCACACATGGTAAGGCACAAAAAATTTAACCACAAATTGGTAACTTTTCCTACTGCTACAGCCAGGAACTTTGGCTGCTGCCTTTTGTCTATTACCAATAGCACTCATGAGGGTTCCTAAGATGCCCAAAACTGGACTATATTCAAGATTGCCATGGTTTACATTAATGGCCCCCAGGCCTCAGGTGCTTGCATTGTGCATTTGTGATTGCTTCATTGTCTAGCACTTGGATTGGGGGTGTGAGTGCTACACACGCTTAGGGGTGGAGCCAGGATGTAATGTAATGGCAGGAAGAAGGTGTGTGTGTCTCTCTCTCTTGCCATTTCCACCTTGCATTTTGCAGCCACCATAACTGCGGCCCCGCTATGCCACCCTGCCTTGGAGCCAACTGAATATGGCCTGAAACCTCCAAAAACTGTAAGAAATAAACCTTTCCTTTCCCAACCTTGGGCATCAGGTATTTTGTCTCAGCGATGAGTAAAAAGTAGCTAAGACATAATTTGGTACCTAGGACCGGGGTCATTTGCTGTGACTATACCTTACCATGTTTTTTAAGAGGCTTTGAAAATGGCCTGTGGGCAAATTTGGAAAGGTTTGGACATGTCATCTGGACGCATAGAGCTGGAGCAACTTAGTCTGTTCTATAGAAGAGGTTCTGCTCAGAGCTCAGGAGACCTGAAGACTGATAAGAAGCCTGATGGTAAAGACCAGGCTTGGGAGGTTTCTGCTGGGAAGAAGAACTGCTTTGGTTGTTAAACTCCCCACGATGTGTGTTACGGCTTGGCAGAAAGTTTGTCTGCATTTTTCTCATGCCCGGAGACTTTGTCTGAGGCTGAGACTAAGGGCAATGTACTGATTAATCTGGCAAAGGAAATTTCAAGGCAGTCAAATGTTGAGGCTGTGACATGGCTATTGTTGGGGGCTTTTAGCCAGTTTTATGTTGTAAATCAAGAGCAAAGAGCCCAGCAGGATAATTTAAAATGCTGTGAGTTTGGTCAGAAGGAAAACTCCAGTAAAGCTGTGGACTATAGAGTTGAGACTTTGATTGCTGAAAAGAAACAAAGAAATAAGAAAGATGGCCATGGGGGCATCACAGGAAGCAGCGGGTCTCCCGCTTTACAGCCTCAAAACTGCAAAAGTGAAAGAATTTGCTCAGAGGAGAGAACTGCAGAGCACCATGCTCCAGAATGGCGATAGAGGCCACCAGAGGTTCCAGAATGGTGGCAACATAGAGAAGCTTTTCTTTACAATCAGGTTCACAAAGCCCAGCAATCCAGGCAATCGACACCTACAGCCAAGAGTGAGAAAAGCCTGGCTACTGCTCCAGCTGGCAGCAAAACTTGGTGGCATCCACATGGTGCTGATTTTAGGTGCAAGGAAAATTCACAAATTCTGAGGGTAAGACAGTTTCCACCTCTATTGCAAAGGGCCTAGGAGGCCAAGCAGTGTGCCCTGAGAGGGCGTTTTGTAAAGATGTAAAGGTGAAGCCAAAGGTGCAGTGGAGACCCCAGAAGTATGGAAAAGCCAGGAATGTGGATCATCCAAGGAAAGCTGCAAAAAGTGAGCAGAGAGGGTTTTAGAGAGAAGCTGCCACAGCTGAAATCCCTGTAACTGTCGTGGGGGTGGAGTTATCCAAGCTTGCAAACAGATTGCTTCAGATGCTGAGCATGGAAGTCTAGGACTTAATTTTCGCCCTGCTGGATGTTGGACTTGCCTTGTTTCCAATGCTTTATATTCCCATTTGTAACTTTTGGAATGGTAATATTTATCACATGCCTTTGCATTCCAGAAATGTTTAACCTTGTTTCATTTGTACAGGGGGTTACAGTTAAGAGTTTGCCTTAGATCTTGGAGGAGACTTAGTACTTGGACTTTTCAGCAATGCTAAAACTGTTAGGACTTTGGCAACTCTTGGAGATGGACCAAAGGTCTTTTGTATAAAGGATGTGCATGAGTCCTGGGGGATAGGGATGGAATGTCATGGTTTATATCAGTGGCCCCCAGGCCTCATGTGCTTGCATTGTGCATTTGTGACATTGTCTAGCACTTGGATTGGGGGTGTGAGTGCTACATGCACCTAGGGATGGAGCCAGGATGTAATGTAATGGCAGGAAGAAGGGATGTGTGTCTCTCTCTCTTGCCTTTTCCGCCTTGCAGTTTGCAGTCACCATGAACTGCGGCCCTGCTATGCCACCCTGCCTTGGAGCCAACTGAGTATGGACTGAAACCTCCAAAAATTGTAAGAAACAAACCTTTCCTTCCCGAATTTTGGGCATCAGGTATTTTGTCTCAGCAACGAGTAAAATGTAAGACAGATTTGTTTTGTTACAAGGAAGGCCATTTCTATCCTCTGATATAACAGTGGACCCTAAAAGCCATGCATGGTAGCATATACCTGTAATCCCAGCACTTGGGAGGCTGAGGCAGAAGGATCACTGCTAGTTTGAGGCCTGCCTGGGCTGCAAAGTGAGTTCAAGGCCAGTTTAAACTGCATAGTGAAATTCTGTCAAAAAAAAAAAAAAAATAGTGGACCCTGAGACCACAAGAGTTTTACAGTATCTCACCAACCTAGGCCAAGGACAACAGGCTATCCAAATGTATGAGAATAGAGTTGTGCCAGCTCCTGGTCTGACTCCTCCCTGGAGACCAAGTGCTTATGAAATTTTCAAAGGAACCCCAACACACCACCAAAGCCAAAATTGAAAGGCCCCTTCACAGTGATCCTTGCCAAATCCTCTGAAGTAAAGGTGACAGAGATAGATAACTGGAATTATCTTTTTGGATTAAAGCTAGTCTCACCTGAACTGTTTAAAGAACAAGCTCATCCAAAACCTATTCCTATGAGCATCTGGAGAAATTTCAAAAAGCAAAACTGCAGTACTGCCACAGATAAGTAAATAAGATCTTGCTAAGGCAGATGTGAGGACAAAAGTCAATTCCAGCCATCTTGTGCACAGAGCAGCATGTCATAGGGCCCGTGAGGCTCAGGTCTGTGAGCTTTGAGCATGGCTGCATCTAGATCTTTTTTTTTTTTTTTTTTTTGTCTTTTTCCTTTTCATCGGTACCAGGGATCGAACTCACGACTGCCTGCTTGCAAGGCAGGCGCTTATGCCGCTGAGCTAAATCCCCAGCCCCTGCATCTAGATCTTTGACACACTGGAGCTCATAAGATGTTCATAAGGTCAGCTTTCTGTTACTGTCATACTAAATCAACTTCTAAAACAAGAATTTTCTTTGGCTCACAGTGTGAAGGGTGCTCCCCATAGGCAAAGGGCCCTATTGTTTTGGGGCAAAGACTTCACCTCAGGGCAGCCAGGAAGCAAAAGGAAAGAGCAGAAGGGGCTGAAGTCTCATTCCCTACAAGGAGACTCCCTCAGTGACCTGCTTCTTCCAGCTGGGCACCACTTCCTAAAGGTTCCACCAACTCCTATCAGCAGGGATTTTATCAGGCTTTGGCTACCTGGGGCCCTTTAAGATCCAATCTGGAACACAGAATTGGCAGGGTGGGAATATTTGGCCAGGGAGAGACACTCAGAGTGTTGGGGGGCCACCAGGCAGTCTTGGGGAGCCACCAGGCAGAAAAGGGCAGTGTCTTTTCAGCGCTCTGTGACCCTCCAAACACCCCACCAGGGGCTGATCAGAAAGCAGTTTGCAGGCCGAATCACTTCAGCTGTGATTGGAACAATCTGGGGTGCCCAGTAGTGCATCCTGTGTAGGTTCTGGTTTAAGGCTGGAGAGTATCATGGGGCATCACACATGGATAGGCGGTAGCAAGTGCTCTTAGAATCTTGGCTGGGCCTCCTGCCTGAAGACTGCTGGTGGCCTATTGTCTGTTCTGGCAGGCAGTATGGGCCAAAGCTGGCACTGTAGACCAATTGCAGGGCACTGGGCACAATGCCCCCCAGTTGCAACTGAGTCACTGAGGCTTTTATTGGGCTGCATAGACTTGGTCTCCAGTCTTCACCCTGGGCCTGCTGTCGTGCAGGGTCCCCTGCTTGCCTGGCTCCACAGCACCTCTGGCCTTCTTGCAAAGAGGGCAACGATGGCCAAGGGGTGTGTCTATGATGTGTCCTCTCAGCAGAGGCTTGGGCCGGCTGGCCCCGTGTACAGGATAAGCATACAGACTAGACACAGAGCACCAATAGGCTTCGAAGACACTTTAGGAGTGATCGCTGGCTAAGAGGCCTAAAGGATCTTCCCCCAGCATTGCACAGGTATGGTTCTAGAACCTTCCCTGGCTCCCACTGCTGCCCCCAGGAGATGTCTAGTTTTACAGTCGACCCTTCTTGGGACCCACCAGAATAGACCCTGGAATGCTCCTGTCTAGACAACAGTCCAGCCTGTGAGACCCCTTAGGTCAGAGGCCTCACTCATTTTCTCAATAAGCCTTGCAGTTCTCAGCCCCATCTGCAACACCCTGGTGACAGACTGGTACCTTCACAGTGGCAACACAAAGTCTCACCAGAGTTGAGAGCACTGCTATAGAGCATTCTAGCAGTGTATGCTGCTCTCTCAAGGGCTGTCCCAAACGATGGTACCCTTAGAATTTAGGGACCTGGCCTGTCAACCTTGGGACCTGTTGGTGGGGAGCTGTCCCTCCTGGGGACTGGACCAACCAAGTTCCCTTCTCCTCAGGAATCTTGTGCAATTTCCCCATTCTAGGTTCCCTTGGTTGTCCTTGCCCTACAGTTGCCACCTCTTCCCAAAAGCTCCTGGCCCCAGGACCCCTAGGCCATTCCCCAGACACTTCAGAAGAAAACCACAACGATAGAAAGGTTTAAACAATTTATTGCGCCCCGCAAGCCCAGGGGATAGAAAGAGGCGCCGCGTAATTGTTTGTTGCCTGTAGCGTACCCGGCCTGGAGCATCCCGCCAACCAGCGTCTTCACCCGGGCAGCAGGCACAGCCTCCGCCATTGGCGCCCAGGGGCCCGTCACTATGGCGACGGCCGTTGCTAAAGGCGAGAGCCAATGGGGGCGTCGCCAGAGCTGTTTCAAAAATCTAAAGCAAACAACAAAAACGCTCCATCCTGGGGGGAGGGGAAGAAAGGGGCAGGAGGGAGGGAGAGTAAAGTGGGGGATCGGGCTGGGCTGGCGAGGGGATCTGAACAAGCTCGGGTGGAAAAGCTGCGATGGCGCCGGGGCCGCCCGCTGGGGAGGTCACTTGCGCCCCTTGGGTACTTTGGGGACGCTGGGCTTGGCCGCCTTCTTCACCTTCTTGCCAGAAGCAGTCGTCGCCTTCGCGGCCTTGGCCCCTTTGTCCTTGGCGGCGCCCGCCTTCCGCGCGCGCTTGCTGGGCTTCCTGTCCGCACGCCGCGCCCCGCTAGCACCCGGGGCTGGGGCCGCCTTCCGGGCGTTGTGCGGGGCGGACGGCGGCGCAGGGGTGGCCGCCGGGGTCCCGCGCCGCTCCCCGCCGCCCTCCAGTTTCTTGCGGTTGAGCTTGAACGATCCGTTGGCGCCAGTGCCCTTCACCTGCAGCAGCGTATCGTTCTGTACCAGAGCCTTGATCGAGTACTTGAGGTACGTGCGCCCGTTCTGCTGGTCGAACCAGGCCACCTTACGGGCCTCCGCGTAGATCCGGGCCAGCGATGAGCCGCCACGCTCGCCCAACTTGCGGATTGTCTCCACCACCAGCTGGCTGTACTTGCCTGGCTGGTTCTTCTTCTTGCTGCTCTTTCGTTTCTTGGCCACTGCCGGTGCCACCGCCTTCCGAGCCGGGCCCTCGGCCGAGGTGAGCGGCAAGGCCTTCTCGAGCTCCACCGACATGGTGGCGAGCGGGTTGGTGGCGGGCGGCGCGCGGAAGCCGGGGGGCCGCGCCGGGAAGAGAAAGGCGAGGGGCCGCGGCGGTGCCGGGGGACTGGGGGCGCGCGGCGGCTCCGGGCGGGAGCGGCCGCGGCCGGGCCTGGGGCCGGGCGGCAGGGCTGGACGGGGCCGGGCGGAGGAGGGAGCGGAGCGCGGGGCGCGGTCCCCGCCGAGCGAACAGAGTCGGAGTGGCCGCTGCCGCTGGAGCTCGCTGGGCGTGCGCGCCGCGCTCTGGCGACGCGGGCGCCCCGCTCAGCTTTTATTCCACCACGTCGGACCGCGTTGAGAACAACAGCCTGGTCCGGGACCGGCGCCGACTTGTGCTTCTTGGAGCCCCTTCCCGGGCAGCTGGCTCCGCGGGCCGCACCTCCTCGGCGCCGCTGAGCCCTTCGCCGTGCGCCCTGGACGGAACCGAGCCCGCGGCGCGGTGGAGGGGCAGCCCGCGCCCGGGAAGGGCCCGGCAGAGGGCGGCGGAGACACGCACCCCGGGTTGCGGGCGCGCGGGAGGAGAGGGCGCCCTGTTTGGGAGCCGATAACGCGGGCTCCGGCAGAGACTTTGAGTCCTGGAGCGACGCAAAGGCAGCCAAGAGCGCGCCGCGGCCATACGAGCTCTGGCCCGGCCCGCGAGGCCCCCGGCCTGCCCGCAGGACGGGCTTTAATTTGTCCGAACTAACACAGGGCGCGCCCTCGCGTGGTCTGCTCGGCGATGAGCAGGTCGCGGGGACTTCGCGGGGGTCGTCTGTGGCTGAGGAGACCTCGGCTGCACTGAGGCTACCAGCGAATGTTGCACCCGGGCCTCGGGCGCCACATTGAAGGGGGCAACACCACAGGGGTCTCTTTGGGGACGCGATCTCGCCACTTCCATGAGCCAAGCTCTCCATTTTGTGATATGTCAATGGTAGCCACCAAAGGGCCTGCGGTGGTCAAGTGGGGAGTTGCGGGGTGGGGGTCGGGGCTTCTCAGTTGCTGACAAGCCTACCCCTCTCTTCCACGCAGGAGGGAGAGTGATGGAGGCAGAGGTGCTGGAGAGGGGTCCCTGGGCATCAGGACACTCAGGTTCCTGCAAGGCTGGAGGAGGCCCTGATCTCTGTCAGTTTCAGTACTGGGTCAGGGGTGGTGCCAAACAGACCATTTGGGAAGCCAAAGGGAGTTCCTTCTGGACAAATGATTTTAGGGTGCAACACTGCAAGGAGGCCTTCGAAAGGGTGCCAATCCCTGGCATTTTCTGCACCATGGAGGGGCAGGGCAGACTGCTGCTGACCTTTTAACCCAGTTAGGGAAGCATGGGCTTCCTGTAAACCATCCTTCACAGCGAATTGAAATCTTGGGTTGAGGAAAACACGTCTACAGGCAGGAAAGCAAGTGAGGACTCCGAAGAGGGCAGGTGGGCACATTGGAGGCCCTCTGTAAGTCCAGCATCCCTCCTTCTCAGCTGCCCCTTTGAGAGATGGGCAAGGCTGCCTAGGAGGTGCTTGGCAGCAGGATCTGTTTGCTGAAAGAGGAGTCTGCACCCAGAGACCTTGCCTGAGAAGCAGGACCATAGGGTGAGCCCTGTGCTGAGGAGCAAGAGAACTTGAGGGACTCAGAATCCAATCCAGGGGACCAGAGACCATCTGGATGTCCTGACAGCCAAGGAATGGACTCTGGAGCTGGCACTTGAGAGCAGAAAGAGTCTTGAGAGGCTGCACAGCTGTCATACAAGAGTCCTGGGCTGGGGTTTTAGCTCAGCGGCATAAGCGCCTGCCTTGCAAGCAGGCAGTCGTGAGTTTGATCCCTGGTACCGGTAAAAACGAAAAAGACAAAAAAAAAAAAAAAAAAAAAAAAGAGTCCTCAAGATATAAGGTGTTTCTGGGCTAGGTGTCATGGGGACTGCAAGGCAGGAGAGGTAGGGGCAGAGCCCAGAGCGCAGACACCCAGGGCCAGGTAAAGTAGAGCCACCTCTCCCACAGAGGTGACTAGTGGACACATCTGGGTATCCCAGGGTGTACAGATACGCTCCAGATTCTGTTACGAGAACTGAAATGTGTCCAGTCACCAGAGGGAGAGGAGGTGCCTGGAAAGATGAGTGTGGAGGCTGAGCAACTTTCTGCCCAGGATACACTCCCAGGCCACCTCTAGGTTGCAGAGCGACATTTTCCCCACTCCAGCAGGGCCTGCCTTGCTGGAGACAGAGGAAGACCGGTCGGAGGGGAAGGAGAAGCCAAGTGTGGCTGGTATCCTGGAAGTGAGGAGAGAGTTTCAAGTCAGAAGGGCTGGCCCATCACTGTTGGGCAGAGCTGGGAGTGTTGCTGCACAGCCCTGTGGCCCTGACCAGACTTTTTTTTTTTGTCTTTTTTTGAGACAGGGTCTCACTATGCAGTTCAGGCTGTCCTTGAGCTCACTTTGTAGCCCAGGCTGGTCTCAAACTCGCAATGATCCTCCTGCCTCAGCCTTCCAAGTGCTGGGATTACAGGCATGAGCCACCAACCCTGGCCTCCGACCAGACTTTCTACCCAGTGGTTTACAAAACCTAAAAGATCTCAATGGAAAACCAGGAGTTTTCTTAGCAGGAGAGCATTCTGGGAAAGTTACATGATCCTGTCTCCCATCATTACCCTCACCACAAGGCAAGGATGTTTCTCTAACAAGTCTCCTTAATGTTTTTCAGAAATAATGTCCCACAAGCTACTCCAAGGAGCATGTGAAGGAACAACATGACTTTGTTACAATTCCAGTGCCTCCGCTCTCATTCCCAACACAGAAGTGTGAGGAACCTGTGTTTAGACCAAGCCTATGCTGTTCTGCATTGGGAATGCCTTTGGATCCACATGACCCGCTGAGTTCAGTGACAACTTCAAAGATACTGTTAAGATTCCCTGAAGATGTATGAAGATTGAGCTGGGGAACCCAGCCAGCAGCCCTGTTCTGGGAGGAGAAAGAGTTCACTGTGGCACAGGTATCAGGCAGCGCAGCCTCAGTCTTGGAGGCCATACTAGCTTGGTGGCACAGAGCCCAGGGGCAGTGCCTTTGGGATTTGGGAGCTGAGTGGTGTCATTCTTCTGGTCTCTTTATGTACATGGGGATGCCTGAGGGAGGCAGGGGGAGCCACTCTTCAGGGATACTGAGTTCCCAAATTCCATCTCCCACCACTGTAACAGGAACCAGAGGTGGAAAAGACATTAAGTTGACCATGAAAAATGGCAAAATATGAAAAAAATTTTTAAAAATGCACGAGGCCCAGGCATAGCCCAGACCAGTACCAGAGTTACTCCTGTGCCAAGCCAGCCAGTCGGGGAAATCCGTAAGCACAGTCAGCGATGCTGTGGCTAAGCCTGGAACTTTTGACACTACCCATGTACCAATGATATGTGGGCAATTCCTGTCATGGATATTGAGATGCTGAAAACTCACTAAGCATTCTGATCAAAAACATGGAAGCACATCCTAATTCCCTGTCCTCCATCCTCCCGTTCAGCTAGTGGTTCTTGTTCATTCACCCTCAAGCCAGTCTCCTGTCCCTCCCTACCACCTTCCCCCTGCCACCTGCTTCCCCACCCCAGCCCAAGGTCTTTGCACTCAGGGTCCATGGCAGAGGCATAGCTGGCTCTTCCAGTGGCCAAGGTGCTCCTGAGACTCAGGTGGACCCAGCTTGACTTTCTTTAGCCACCTGATCCCATTTGTTTGTGACTCATCTACTGTCACTCTCATTTTTTCTTTTAAATGCTCAGATCCCAGGATCAGACCCTGGTCTTGTCTTATGACCCTGTGTCCTACAGACGGCTGGGACACACAGAACTGTTAGGAGTGAGGCTGGTTCTTCCCTGGTCCCTTGTTGTGCTCCTACCACTGGGCATGCGGTCACACCTGTGACCCACACCAAGCCTGGACACCAGCAGAAAGGACAGAGCAGGGACCATGTGGAGCCAGGGTTATTTTAACTAGCATGTCTGCAAGGCCAAGCTGAGCTGAGCCTGGCATCTGGGTACAACATTAACTTTCTACCTTGAAGATACAAGAAATATGTGGACATAAGGAGATGGTCCAATTGCTAGTCCTATTTCCTCCCATCCCAATAGAATGTCAAAACTCTTTCTGTACAAACATATATATGTATTATTCTGACCTTGATACTAACGCTGGTTAACCTATACACATTTGGTAATTCTACTTGGACTTCTATTATTTTTTAAAAAATAATTTTTATTATTTTTTTGAGACTCAGTAAGTAGCTCAGAGTGGGCTCAAACTCCAGGCGAACCTCCTGCCTCAGCCTCTGGAATGATAGGACTGTGTTTTCTCCCAGCTGGTGCAATATCCTGTTGGAGACTCATGCAGTGTTTATCAATAAACTTTTCACTTTCCTATCCCTCAATGATGTGTAAGTTCTTTTTACAATCCATGGCACCAGCCTCTTCCCTCCTGCCCTGCACACAAAGCATGTACAAAATCTCCCTTTGTGCCCGACTCAACCCTACCTCACTTTTTAAGCTCTTGTTGCCAGTGGGGCATCACCACAGAGATGGCTCTGAAGGGCCCTCCAGTGTCACTGTGGGCTTCTGGACCGAAGATGCAGTCTCGAGGTGAGGAGTCACTAGAAATACCCAGATTGGCAGACGACACACGTGATTAGTGACAGAGGGAGGTGATCCCATCCACACCCACAAATTTAGGGCCCCCTTTGCCCCAGGTGTTACCACCTGTGAAGGGATTCATGCCCAGGGATGAGAAGCAATGCCCTTGGGCATCTGAAATTCTGCACAGGAACCTGAGGGCCAAGGGGAACTGACTGAAAAGAGGGGTCAGGGCTTGGAGTTTAGCTTAGCAGGTACAAGTGCCTGCCTGGCAAGCATGAGGTTGAGAGTTTGATTCCCAGTACTGAAAAAAAAAAATGAGGGGACAGGTCAGGCACGTTGCTGCCACCTGTGGTTCATTCAGGAGTCTGCCTGCAGGTCAACATCAGTCTCCCCCAGACAGGTGGAAATAGGGTGCTGTAACCTGGCCTCGGTGGACAGGGGTGGCTAGTCCAGGACTGAGATTCAGACACAAATGGACAGGAAGTAGATTCGGCATGAAGGGGAGACTGGAAGTTTGCTGGTTTTAAGATGCAAATGAGGGAGTGGCTGACACTACGGGCCAGGCAAGGACAGGGATGTCTGTTCTGTAATGGCCCAGGGGTGATGTACAGAGTTGTCTCTGATTCACTGTTGTTACATAAATATCAAAAATAGACATGCTTTTCTGATTAAAGCTGTCTTGTCTGATCAGAACCCCAGCAGCACTGTGGACTCACATGGAAGATTTGAAACTGGTCACTCTTGGTGCACACTGTGTGCTGGCCCCTGGGTCCTGATTACACTTTCTGGCTCACAGGACCTACATTCAGTCTCTGCAG